CGCCGATGCTGATGATGGTGTTGACAATTGTGATGGGGATGATGCTGCCGATGATGATACTGATAATGAGTGTGATGCTGATGATGATGTTGTGAGTGGTGATGACGACGGTGCTGGTGATTGTGACGATGATTGTGTTTTTTCCCAACCATCCTGTGGTGTTGGGCCCTCGTTTTGAAGAGGCAGCGCCCCGCGTCATTCACCTCACCTCCCGCTGCCCCCTCCTCTCTTCCTCCCCTCCGTGCCTCTGCTCTCCGCATGCTCACCATTTCGGCGCACCCCTCACGAGGATCGTGGCCCCCAAAGGGAGCTCCACCGAAGGCCCCTGTGGCGCAGGTCGCATGCGCCCAACGCCCCCAGTTCGGCACACCCCTCACACGGCTCGTGGCCCCATAGGGAGCTCCACCGAAGGCCCTAGTGGCACAGTCCGCATGCGCCCGACGACCCCATTTTGGCGCACCCTTCACACGGCTTGTGGCCCCATAGGGGGCCCAACGAAGGCCCCAGTGGCACAGGCCGCATGCGCCCGACGCCCATTTTGGCGCACCCCACACACGGCTCGTGGCCCCAGAGGGAGCTCCACCGAAGGCCCCAGTGGCACAGGCCGCATGCGCACGACGCCTATGTCAGCACACCCCTCACACGGTTCCTCGACCCATGGGGGCTCCACCGAGGGCTCCAGCGGCGCAGGGTCCACATGCGCCTGGCGCCCATTTTGGCACACCTCTCTCAAGGTTCCTGAGCTCCACCGAAAGCCCCAGTGGCACAGGCCGCATGCGCCCGACGCCCAGTGTGGCACAGCCCTCACACGGTTCGTGGCGCCATAGGAGCTCCACCGAAGGCTCCAGTGGCGCAGGTCGCATGCGCCCGACGCCCATTGTGGCACAGCCCTCACACGGTTCCTGACCCTATAGGGAGCTCCACCGAAGGCCCCAGTGGCACAGGCCGCATGCGCCCGACGCCCATGTTGGCACACCCTTCACACGGTTCGTGGCGCCATGGGAGCTCCACCGAAGGCTCCAGAGGAACAGGCCACAAGCGCCCGACGCCCATTTTGGCGCACCCCATACACGGCTCGTGGCCCCATAGGGAGCTCCACCCAAGGCCCCAGTGGCACAGGCCGCATGCGCACGACGCCCATTTTGGCACACCCCCTCACACGGTTCGCGGCCCCATAGGGAGCTCCACCGAGGGGCCCCGCCCAGCTGCTCAGGGTCTGCATGCGCCCGGCGACCACTTTAGCACGCCACTCACACGGTTCGTGGCCCTATAGGGAGCTCCACCGAAGGCCCCAGTGGCACAGGCCGCAAGCGCCCGACGCCCAGTGTGGCACACCCCTCACACGGCTCGTGACCGCATGGGGTGTTTCACCGAAGGCCCCAGTGGCACAGTTCGTGGCCCCATAGGGAGCTCCACCGAATGTCCCAGTGGCACAGGCCGCATGCGCCGGAGATTTACGGCCATTTTTGTGGGGGCCCGCACTTGTTTCTGCAAGCTCATTTGCGGCCTGTCCTGGTTTTGTTGGGGGGTGATTGGGGTGAGGAAATGTGCGGGCCATTTTTTTGGCCTGCAGTTTTCGCGAGCCCAATCGCAGTCTTTCCATATCTTTCCTGGTCTGTTTGGGGTGAGGAAATGTGCGGGCCCTTTTTTTTGCCCGCAGTGTTTGCGAGCACAAGTGCAGGCATTCCTGGTCTTATTGTGGTGGGGAGATTAGCTGGCCATTCTTTTGGGCCCGCAATTTTTGCTATCCCCATCGCTGCCTGTCCTTTTTTGTTTGGGGTGAGGAGATTTGCGGGCGGGCCATTTTTGGGGGGCCCGCAATTTCCGCAGGTTCTGCGAGCCCAATCGCAGCTGTTTCTGGTGAGGGGATTTGCGGGCATTTTGTTTTTTGCCCGCAGTTTTTGGGAGCCCAAGTGCAGGCATTCCTGCTCTTTTTGGGGTGAGGGGATTTGCGGGTCATTTTTTGTTGGCCCGCAGTTTTTGCTAGCCCGATCGCTGCCTGTCCTGGTTATGTTCACGGTGAGGAGATTTGCAGGCCATTGTTGGGGGCCCGCAATTTCCGCGAATCCAATCCCACGACAGATTTGCGGTCCATTCTGCGTTGGCCTGCAGTTTCTGCGAGCCCAACCGCAGCTGTTTCTGGTGAGGGGATCTGCGGGCCATTTTTGGGGAGCCCGCCGTTTTTTCGAGCCCAAGTGCCGCTATTCCTGGTTTTTGTTTGGGGTTCGCGAGCTCCTTGAGGGCACGCCCCTGCGGGCCCAACTCCGCCCCCGTCCGCCGAAGGTGAGCAGATGCTCCGTGTCGGGGGGGGCGGGGCGCAGTTTCCGCGGGCCTGGTCCCGCCCATGCCTTGCCAACGCGGGGTGGGCAGCGTTGCGGGCCATCTTCGTTGGGTCCCGTGTCCTTCCTCGGGCCCGCGCCGTGCCTGGGGCTCGTGCCAGCTGCGGCTCGGAGGCGCAGGGGGAGAGAGAGAGAGAGAGAGAGAGAGAGAGAGAGACAGAGACAGAGACAGCGACAGAGACAGAGGCGCAGGCACAGGCAGAGACAGCGGGGGCAACCTTAATGCTTCTTTCTATAATGTCGACCAGAATGTCCTGGCCCAGCCGGCCTTGTGAGACCACGCCCGCCGAACAGTACACGGACAGCGGGCAGCAACGGCAACAGCCCATTGCGTTGCAAGCGTAGAAGGTCCTGCTGCGGCCAAGGTCTCATAGCTCGGCCACGAGGTCACGCGCCTAGGTGCTGCGGCCATCGGGACAATCATCGGGAAAACCATCGGGACAACCGTGGGGCGACTCATTTTGGCCTGACTTGGCTATTCCTAGGGCAGGAAATTGCGTAGTTTCGCCTCGCCTCGCCCGCGCGCGTCACGAATGACTCGAGCCGAAACCGAAATCGACTTCTCAGTTGGTCGACTCCATCTCACTTCGATGTCACCCCAAACCTCCGAACAGAATGGGGTTCCTACGGTTTTGACAATCCCTGTAGACCTCTGAAGCTCACTCCGCGCCGCTTCATCACGACGGCGACCGGTTTGTGCGTTCAGGGGCACTTTGCCTCTTCGCAGCGTCGCCTGAGGATGGGCTGACGCCGCGCACCTCGATTCACATGCGCACCGTGGCAGAATGGTCACACACATTAGCAACGGGCTAGCACGCAATGCTGCACAACTTGATACCGAGACGGGCTCGCGTTCCCACCCGGCGAACCGCAGGCGCGCGCTCGCGCGGGGCCGTGCTTCCGACTGCTTAGCGAAGGGGGCAGCGTGAGCCGCGCACGTTCGGGAGCGGAGCCCGCGCCGGATCTTCGCGCGGCGTTTCGGCGAGAGCCCCCACCTTCTCGTGCGCGCTAAATTTATGGTCGGGCTTGTGAAGGCACAGCATGCGCCGCGTTGAGTCGTCAGCGCGCCGTTTTCAGGCGATATCTGAGCGGCGCTAGCGACATCTCGCCCGCTCGCGCACGGCCCCGCCTCCGACGAGCTGGCGAGCGAAAAGTGCGCGCCGCGATTTAGCGGGAGTGCGACTTCCGAAAGACATGTCTGAGTCGAGAGCAGTATTTCCCTTGCTCGAGCGCGATGTGCGACGCGTCCCATCCCCGCCACGCATTTTGCAGCGCGGACGACGAGACGCCCATGTTGAGAAGAAATACGTAGACTTTGCTGATTCCTGATGGGTAGGATGGGAGGGCCCAGATGGAACCGTGATCGGCAGAGCGGGAGCGCATATTAATAAGGCATGAGAATAGGGTATGGGTGGGGGCCGGTGGTTTGTTGTACAGTCAACGCGCCTAGTAAGGACGCGCGCCTTCATCTAGGATACCCTTGCGTCCTTGCCTCTGCGGCCCGTCCTCTGCCGTTTTCACTGGTCGCCGCCCCAAAAGATCCCAACTTCAGCCTCCAAGGGTCTTGCGCCCTTACCATGCGTCCTTACCATACGTTTTGGCTGTATTCGCACCAGCATGCCAGAAGGTACTACTGGCAAGCAGCCGCAGAGGCTGACCTGCCCTTCGTTCTCGGGTCTCCCAGGGCCCCTCCGACCTCCCACTGTGTCGCAGGAGCCTCACAAAGCCATCCTCAGGAAGATCCCGATCTCGGTGATGGTGGTAATATTCTGGCCTCCAAGGTGACCGAAATATTGCCACCAGCACCGAAATCTAGGATCATCTTTCCCATGTGGAGGCACCCCCCCTGGTGTTGGTGTTGGTGCCCACTTCTAGGCCTGCAATGTTTCTGCGGCATCTTCCGAGCCGGATCGGTCTGCAATGGTCACGCGGCCCAACGCCGGGGGACAACGCCAGGTGCGACAAAGAGTGCACCGCCCGGATCTCCGAGTTGTCGCCCCCGTTGCACCTCAGCTCTCCGAGCCCAGGCATGCGATGGCCTGCGTTTGTCGATGCGCGGTGCCTGGAAGCCCCGACCCTTTTCCCAGGGCCTGTTTTTCACCCCGAGTCGTTCTTTGGGCGGCCCCGAGGCCCAGCGAGGGCCCCAGGAGGCCGAGAGTGGCCCAAGAGCCTCCCGTCGTGACTTCTTCCAAGCAGTGGCGAAGCGCCCTGGTTCGCCTATGGCCCCACCAAACAATGTTCTAAGAACCTTTTGTGGTCTCCACGAAATGTTCTTAGAACATTTCTGGCTGGGACTGTCTTGCTTTATCACATCGGGTTTATGGTCTAAGAACATTGTTTTTGTTCTCAGAACATCTTGGGTTCTGAGAGCATGTCGTGATATGACTGTAGGAATGCTGGGACGCTCGGTCCCTGCTCAATTCTTCCACGACGCGAGCATGCCTGGGAGAGGCCAGGGGGGAGGAGGAGGAGGAGGAGGAGGAGGAGGAGGAGGAGGAGGAGGAGGAGGAGGAGGAGGAGGAGGAGAGGCGGAGGAGGAGGAGGAGGAGGAGGAGGAGGAGGAGGAGGAGGAGGAGGGGGAGGGGGAGGGGGGAGGGGGAGGGGGGAGGGGGAGGCGGGGGAGGGGGAGGGGGAGGGGGAGGGGGAGGGGGAGGAGGAGGCAGCCAGACGCAGCAGGCTCGGGCGAGGCGCCGGGCGCGCAGGCGCGCCGCGCCATGGCGGGCGGGCGCTGGGTGCCCATGCCCGACCCGGTGGGGGCGGGGCAGTGGGCACCTTGGGCGTCGCGTAATGGGGGGGGGTCATGAATGGGGGGGGTGGCGAGGGCGGTCCGAAAGGGTACCCAAACGGTGCCTAAACGAGCCCCCTTGGGGCTCCGGAGGGGCCCGAAAGGGGCAGGGAAGGGGACCGTTTCTGACCCCCCCATCTGTGAGCACCTCCCATTAAGCCACGCCCAAGGCACACTCGGCGTGCACGAGGCAGAAGCTCGCGGCCGCCCTGGCCGACGGCGCCGTCAGGGCCATCGAGGCGGACATCCTGATGGGCACGGTGGCGGGCGCCGAGGACGCCGAGGACTGTGGGCGATCTCTCTCTCCCCCAAGCCCCGTCCAAAAAGGAGGCGACTCAGAAAAGGCGGGGGACCCCGGGATACACCCCCAGGGGGGCCATTCGGGCGCACCCCTATCGAGGATGGACGCCCCCCCGTCGTATATCCCAGGGTTGGGCCCCAAGTTTTTGGTGCAGTCCAAAACCTCCCGAAGCCTAGGATAGGGGTCGACATATTCCTTGTTAGAGGACCACGAGTCGGGGGCAACGATCGGGGGGGATAGGCATAGGGGGGGATGCATCGACCCACAATCGCCGATGGATCGCCGATAGGGACCCGATAGCCCCACCCCGCCCAGGAGGGGGCGGATTCACGATCGGGGGCCTATCGCCGATCCATCGACAATGTATCGCCGATTCCAGGTCGATGTATCCCCCCTATACCTATCCCCCTCTATCGTTGCCCCTCAAAGAGGCAGCAGAGATCGGCTACACGTAAGCGTGACCCCTCGTCGGGGTGACCTCTGGTGTGGGCCCATTTTTGGGCTCCCCCGATCGCCGAGCGCGATGCCGCAGTAGCGTCTTGCGCGCTGGTGCTTGGTCCTCCCGCGGCCCCCAAAAAACCGCGCACCAAAGGCGCCTGCAGAGCCAGATTTTCGCGGAGGTGTTGGAGCCGCTCGCGGCCCTGGAGGTGGCTCGACCCGAGCCCGATTTTGGAAGGCCCCCAAGCAATTTGAAACGCAGCTTTTCTACGTGAAATTGGCCGAGCCAGGTTTGCGCTGAGGCGGATTGGTCCCCCCAAGACCAGCATGAGGGACAAGGGGTCTTGTAGGAGGGGGGTCCACGACCAGGTTTGTTGCCGTCTTCGGGCCCTCGTAGGGGGCTGGGTGGCGAAGAAGATCGAGGAGAGGAGAGTCGCGCAGGCGGCACGGAGGTCCGCCCGAAGTCAGCGGTGAGGGCGGCGAACGAGGACGGCGACGAAGACTTGCGGCGCATTTTCCGGCGGATGGCCGAGCCTGGCCTTGACATGGTTGTGCTGGGGGGGCATGCTTTACGAGCTTGCGCACATGCATGCTGAGCCACTTCATGCTGGGGCTCCTCGCCGACTTCGTGCACGTGATGGGCCAGAGCGCAGCGCGGAGGGCCAGGCGCGCCGTTGCGACGGGTTTGGCATGCCTCCTTTGCTACCTCTGCCCTTGTCTTCAGATTCCGGAAAAGGATACGCGCCCTCAGCATCGCACACATCGCCAGCGAACAACAGACTCATCTGAGAGCGAAGCGCCTGCTGCCTGCTCCAAGCGTCGCAGTGCGCAAGTGGTTATTCGTCATCGTGAGTGTGCTGAACGTGTGGTTCGTGGGCGAGCAGCCTGCCTGCGCGCTGCCTCTTAAGCCTTCGCTGCAGCAGCGGGTGGCCTACGCGCCACTCGCAGCGCAGGTTGCCCTCTTCGTCGAGGGCCACGCCGTTGCCACGCCGGCGCGCAACCGGTCTGGTTGATCATCGGCAGTCCAAGGATATCACGCACGAGGGTGAGGCGGCGCAGAGAGCGCAGGCGCTTAGCTTTACGTCGTGCACGTCCTTCGACAGGAGGAGTATTCAAAAATAGTCGACAAATGCTCAGAAGACGACTTTTCGATTATATTTTGGAGCATGCTTGGAGTATGTTTCATGTCGCTTCCAGCATCCACCTGTAGGAAGTCGATCGATGGAGAGGAAGCATGCTGCCAAATAATCTCTAGATGTCTAAAGCATGTTTTAAAAACATGTGTTCAACATGCAACAAACAACATGTTTGAAACATGTTTATCACAGGATTTGCTTGTTGTTAAACACATGTTTAACTCAACGATGGGATTGTTAGAGTGCCCAGTGCCATGGCATCCGGAGCTGTAGGAGGACTGGTCTACTCTGTAAGAACGGTTTTTTGAAGGCAGATCTGCCTTCAACAAGAACTGTTTTTTGAAGGCAGATCTGCCTTCAAAAAACCGTTCTTACAGAGTAGACCATTTTTTGAAGGCAGATCTGCCTTCAAAAAACCGTTTTGTGAAGGCAGATCTGCCTTCAAAAAACCGTTCTTACAGCCCGACGTGAGCTTAGCTGGGCACAGGGCCTCCCAAAGGCTTGCCGCCGCAGGACGCGGGCGCCTCCCCGGACGTCGTGCGCTTGGCCGCGGGCCCCGTCGCGCCTCTGCCCCGCCGGGCCGGCAGAGAGCATCGCGGGCCTCGGCTTGAGTCGGGCCTGTCCCTCCACAGGAGGCAGATTCAGAAGTAGTAAAAAAATATTTTGGGGGACGATGTATTATTATCATAATTATCATTATTATCATCATCAATTTTATTATTATTATTATCATTATTATTATTATTATCATTATTATTATTAATAATAATAATATTATTATCATTATTATTATTATTATTATTATTATTATTATTAATATTATTATTATTAATATTAATATTGTTATTATTATGATGATGATGAGTATTACTTACCCGTTACGAAAGTTATTCATCTTGAGCACTGACGATTAGGGCGTCTCCGAGTGGCCCCCCCTTCCCCCCGTAGACTCCTAGCACGGCAGTCTTCGGCCTGGCTTGGCGGGAGAGATTTCCGGGGTTCCCCCTGGTAGCATTAATAGTATATATCCAATTCAGGATAAAATCTCTCCCCCGTAAATTCACAGGGGAGAAATCACTCCCGGTCACTTCCAGGCAGCTCTGAATCTCTCCCCGTATGAAACCACAAGGAAAAATCACTCCCATACCGCTTCTCACCACAGCGCCCACACATGCCAATTTTAGCCAAGATGAATTAACTTTCTTAACGGGGATGTATTATTATGATGATGATGATTATTATTGCTGTTTTTGATCATTTTGGAATATGTTTGGGGCATTCCTTATTTTTCGCCCAAAATCCGCCTGCAGGGGGACGCGCCCGACCTAAGCCCCGGTCCTCTCTGCGGATCGGCCGCGCCCGGGCAAGATGCTCTCGGGAGGGGGAGACACACACACACAAAGACACGTTTGATCGTCGGTCCCCAGGAAAATGTAAGGAAATATGGGAAGTGGGGGGGAAGACGAAAATCCAGAAAATGTGTAAAATATAAGGGATTCGTGGAATTCGTGTCTATTTATTTGTGTGTCCTGTGGCCCTTCGTGCTCATCGAGTCTGGCGAGGCTGCGCCGCCCGCGCTGGGCCTTTTGGAACGCCGCCTTCTTGTCCCAGTCCTGGAGGAGGACCTGGTGAAGGTTGCGGGGAAGTCGCTGCAGAACGGTTGGTTCGGTATCGGGAACGGTGAGTCCCTTGGCGAGCACTCTCCAGAGCGTCATGGTGAGGAAGTCTTGCGGTTGATTATGAACCTGACTGCGACGAATGAGTGCACGAGGGGGTTCGGTGGAGATGTTGATTGCGGTTTACCGTATTTTTGCAAATGAAAAGGCGCTCAGCGCTGATGAGGAGGACTGTTTGGCTTGGCCTTGGGGCGACCTCAAAGATGCATTTTACATATTCTCTTTCCCAGAGTGCTGGGCGCCTTACTTCGCTTTCGATTTGAAGTCTAAGACGACCGAGTTCGTTCGTACTCCCCCCCAGGTTCGGCGACCACGAGCACTTCTTCTTCGGCGCGGTCACCCCTCCCGCGGGCTACAATAACTGCATGGGCCTTGTGCAGCATTTGCTGCTCCGGCTTCGCATCCTTGGCAAGCCCTCGCCATGCCATTCGTTGCCGCTGGAGCGGGAGCTGCGCCGGGATAGCTGGTCCCGCATTTGGCCCCCTTGGAGGAATTCCAGAAGCTCTGGCAGGTACATCGCGACGACATCGACTCCCCAGAGCTGGCCCCCTTGCTGCGCGGCGACTCCGGCTCGGCCGAGGATGGGCCAGGGCCAAAGCAGCCCGGCGAGCATCCCAACCCGTTGCAGGACGAGGCCAGGCGCCACTTCGAGGAGCACGGGCTGCCGCTTTCCAGGGCACGCGGAACGCAAGAGGGCGAGGCGAGAAGGCTGGGAGCTTGCACGCACGGTTCTGAAGCCATTTTGTAGCCAGGCGCCCACAGATGGGCCGACGTGCTGGGTCTTACTGGCCACGTGCTCTCACGCTTGCGGACGGCGCGCAAGCCTTTGCGAATCTTGACTGGCCGTTGGAACCATGCGCGCACTTTCCGCTGGGCCGGGAGGTCTCCGGGGCTTTGCACGGCGCGTGGAAGTTCATCACCTCCCGGCCGGAAGGAGGGCAGCGCGACCTCGACAACACCACATTGCGCGAGTTCTTCGGCCTGCTGGTCATGGCGCCCTTGGTACAGTTCAACCTCCAGAACCCAGTGTCGCCTGTCATCGCGGCCTCGGATGCTTCGGAGACCCGAGGGACTTCTGCGCGGCGACAGGGATGACGGAGGAGACGAGACCTCTGTTGGTTAAAGTGTCGGCGGCTTCGCTTGCCCGCGGTCGCGACTAGTGGCTAGTGGGGTTTGCTCGAGTCTGGGAGTCGCATTTGCGGCGTGCGGCGGGCGTTTGACCTCTGGGCGTCGGGGTGGCCTGCTAGGCCCACGGCAAGGAAGGAGAAGCAAGCCGGCGAGTGCTTGAGCATGCGCGGCCAGGAGCTTCGCTCCTTGACGGACCCCTCGAGACGCAGCCGAAGGACTGCCGCGAATGGTTGGAGACGGCGAGCCACCTCGAGCACCTCGTGGCCTACACGCAGCCGTCGTCGACGTGCATCGCCCTAAGAGAGGAGAGGCGCGAGAGCTTCAAGGACGCAGAGTTGGGAGAGGTCGCTCACTTTATGAATTTGGTGGCCGGCCCGAGAAGGCGCCGCCCGTGCGCGAACGTGCGCTGCCTGGTGGATGCGACGCAGCTCCCTAGGCTAGCTTCGTCTCTGCTGGTCCAGGACGTCACGCGGCTGCGACTGCGCCGAGGTTGTATTCGAAGCCTGGGGCGCGACGGGGCGGAGGAGGCCCCTGTGGGCCAGGCGGGGGCCACGCCCTGCGCCGCCCTGCTTCGCGCGTGCCGGCTCGGGGGGGGGCCGCGCTCGGCTGCAGGGGCGCGCGCGGGGGCCCGTGAGTTCCAGTCGGCTCCATTCGAGGCTTTCGTGGGGCCTCGCTGGAGGGGGATGTCGAAGTCGCTGCTCGCCGCGGAGGCTGTCATGGAGACTTCTGCATCGTCGGTCGCCCTGGAGCACAGTCGCTCTGACGGCCTGGAGTTTGGCTTCGGAGAGGGCCCAATGCGTCGAAATGCAAGTGGGAATTATCGCTAGCTCCCCGTTAGAAGGCGCTCATGACGTCCTGCCTGTCGAGGTCTAAAGGCTGCCAGGCTTTGGGCGCTCGGATTGTCTGCTTCTGCGACTCTCGAGTAGGGGCGGCGGCGCTAGCGATGGGCGAAGCCAGTTCCAAGGCTTTGCGAGCACCCTCATTTTGTTTCGACGCCTTCATGCTATGTTCTCTGGCCGCCCCGCATTACTCACGCGTGAACGCTGCCAGCAAGTCGGCAGATGATCCGAGCCGCTATCGCCGCGCCGGGAAACGCGAGGTGAGGCCTTAACGGAAGTGGGAGAGGCATCGAATAAAGGCACACTTGATTGCACAAAACACGCGACAGGACGCGAGACTTGTCCGACGGCAACAGGGCCCCCCCAAACCGCAGGACACAAGGGCACCCTGCCGACACCCGACCCGCAGACCCGCGAAGGGGGGCGCGCGTCGGACAGGACGCCCGGGGCATCCGACTGGCCGCGCCGCCCGCGGCGCACGCGTGGCGCGCCGCCCGCGCCCGTCTCCCTCCAGGGGGCGATCGCGCGACCTGTCGCCATGGCAGAGAACCGGCCAACAAGGGCGCGGGCGCGGACGTCGCTGACGGGAGGGCGCGCAGACCGCCCTCCGCGGGAGAGCGACTTGTCGCCATGGCAGAGGATGCAAGAACCAGGGCGCGGCCGCGGACGTCGCAGACGAGGGGGCGCGCGCGCGCTGCCCTCCCGCAGGAGGGGGCCTTTCGCCACGGCAGAGGGCCAGAGAACAAGGGCGCGGCCGCGGACATCACAAACGAGAGGGCGCGCAGACCATGCCACGGCGGCAGAGCGACCTGAAGCGCCGCGGCGGCCGCCGAGCGACGCCCCGGGCGCAGGGCGCGCAGGGCGTCTGCCCCGCGCCCCGCGGCCTCTGTCGCGAAGTCGCCGCGGGCGAACGCGCAGATCTCGGCGGCAACGGGGCGCGCGGCGCACCCTGCCGCGGGCTGCGTCAGGCAGGGGGCAGCGCGATTTGGCATGATTTGGCTGGGCCTAGCAGGATACAGCCGTTCCGAGCGACGACAGCTCCGAAATTGTCAGCCCCCAGCGAGCGCGAGCTTCTGCATGGCTCCGCCAAGCGCGCGCCCCCACTGCGGCTCCCAGAAGCCCGCCCGAGTGAAGCCAATAAGCAGGACGGCGGGATGCTCTTTGTGCGCCCTGCGACCTCTGCCCGAATGCGATGATACATGAGTTCGCAGGGTTGGACAGGCACTGGACATTAGAGGGCCCTGCTGCGCGGGGGCGACCGCGAGTCAACGCGTCGTTGGTTCATTGGCGGCGCGGCCGCACTCAGAGAACATTGCAGAGTATACCATTCGCCGCGGCGCTGGCGGCGCGGCGCTGAAATCAGAATCTCGCATCGAGGCGACATGAACCCCAAATCCGACAGGACACTGGGATGCCCTTGACGAGGGTCCCCGCGGCGCGCGCGCCCAGAACGCCGCGGGCGAAGCCGCCGACGCCCGCGGCAATCACAGGACAGACGGGCACCATTGCTCGAAGAACACAGAGGACACGACGCGCGATGCACAGGACGCGAAAGTATTTTCTATTGGGCAGGCCCGACCGACTAACCCAGTACGGCTGTAAGGAAACTGCGACATGTGGTACTGGCGAAATCATTCAAGCGCTACGCAGTTGCAGTTATGTAATGTTTTGATGCCATGGAAGAACGTGACAGGCCTGTTCCAGGTGACACCTATGAGCTGGATGATAGCGTCCAGGACTGCATCGAGCACGTGTGGGGTGCGAAGGGGGGCCCAGAGGGTATGCGGGTGACACAATCTGCGAGCTTCAACATGTCGTTCCCTCGGCCACAAAAAATGGCTCTGTCGTGGGGACTCCTTGGCACTTGGCAGTATCGTGAAGTTCCTTGTCGGGCAGAGCCGATCACATATGACGTTGCGGTGGCGGGTATCGGCTTGGTATCTTGGCTATCGCTGCTAATTGCGCACGGGCGAGGTTGACTGCATGAGCGCTCAAGGTTCTACATGTGCCCTTTCGGTCCATACGGGTTACATCGGCTTGGGATGGACAAAAGGAGGCAAGAGGAGATGTGCAGAGTCGGTGCACACCGGTCATGAGGCGACGTTCTTGTTCCTGGCGAATGCGTTGTGGAACGCGCCGCCTGGCAGGGCTTTGCTCCAGCAGGGTGAGATGCAGCTGTGAGTAAGTTTCAACAGACACATCGTCGCTCTGGGTCTCAGCCCGTATTTACATAAGCTCCAATATTTCCAAAGGGGTGGAGTGACGAGCGCTTATCTGGCATCGGCTGTCATGAACATGGACAGGTGGATGTCGAGCAGGACGGCACGAACATACATCGATACGTCTAGGGCCGCACTCAACGTTCAGACCTTCACAGATTGCCAGGAGCAGCGCATCCAGGGAGCCAAACGCTTGTTTCTGAAGTATCACTACGGTTTTTTCGGTGCTCATTGCAGTACTGACTGGGGGGTGCCCCCCCCCGCCGCCGCCATTTTGAACTGATTTTGGCCGGCGAGCCCGCCGCCATTTTGTCATTGCCTTGTTGCGATTACGGTTGCGCCCGCAGGCGGGTTGAAATGTTTCGTCTGGTTGGGAATTGGCAAATATCGCACTTCCGCGTCACGCGGTGCGCCTTTTTAATAGAATTGCAAATATTTCTCGGGAGAGTCCCACGCCCGCCTAAGATACTATGTGTTGTTATGTTCGTTGTAGTTTTTTCAACGGATTGCAAAACGCAGCCCGCTTGAATAATTCCGCACTGGTCACAAGACGATTTGCCGCCAAATTTTTAAGGGGAGTTCCAACTGATTTGAATTCGTTGGATCGCCTTGCCGCCGTTTCTTTCGATACGTCAGTTACTGTTTCAGGTTTTTTTCTCCGCCGCCCGCTGTTTTCTGAAATGGAGTACGTTGTATTGCTTCCAGTGTGATTCTGAAGTCCTCGGGGATTTCACGCAATATTGCATCTTGCAGCCCGAGGTCGTTCCGCTGTTCCCCCACCTCCACCCGTACCATCAGAGGTGTGTGTGTGGGTCCCGACAGCAGAGAATCCTACAGGCCTTGGCGCGGGAGGGCACCAGCCTGGGTTCTGCAGGCCCTGGCGTGGGAGGGCGCCTGCCTCTCCACCCCTTCGCTCTGCGATTTTCTTCGAGCTCTGGCGCGCCTCAGTGCGCCTGCCCGGCGTGGCTGATCGCACGCCCGTGTGCACCAGCTGGCACCGTGGGCGCAAAAACAAGGATCCTCCCCCTTCGGCCCATTCTTGCCCGCTTTCGCTGGCCACGCCCCGCCCGCAGAGTGTCGACATGGCCTTCCGAGGCCTTTGCATCCTTATCGCGCGTCCTTATCATACGGCTTGATTCTGAGAGAGTGACCCTTTGCCGGAGTGGCGACCTCTGGTGTGGGCCCACGGGAGCCCTTCGATCGCGGAGCGCGAGGCGATGGCAGCGGCCTGCGTGCCTGGGTCTAGCCCCGTCGCGCCCCCCCCAAGCCGCGCACCAAAGGCCACTCGCAGAGGACGATAGGGGGAGGGGGGAAGGCTTCTTCGAAGCGCCCTGCTTCTTAGAAGGCGCGGGGCTTATCTGTAGACGTTGAACCAGCGCCTTCTGAGAAGCAGCCTCCTTCTAAGAAATTATCCCCCCTCCCCCTACCCCTTTGTGCGCGCGGCCAAGAAAGGCCACTCTGGCCTGAGGTCACTCTTGCGCGCAGCCGGGCGAGGAGCGGCCCATCATGGCCCACCCCCCGCTGCGCACCTCGGACCTGCCGTTCGAGGACTTCCTCCAAGAGTGCTTGGCCGACGGCGGGCGCCGCCACCTGAAGCTGGACTTCAAGGAGCTCCGCGCCGTGCGGCAGTGCCTCCCAGAGGCTTCGGGTCCTCCTCCTCCTCCTCCTCCTCCTCCTCCTCCTCCTCCTCCTTTGCCGCCGCTTTCATTTGGTAAGGACTCCTCCAGGCTTTGCAGCCTCCTGGGCACATTCCTTACCGCCCCCACTGTATTGGGGTCTCCCCTTGGCCTCGCGCGTGCCCGGATACAACGTCCACCATCAACGCTCACTTGACCCTTCCTCGTCTTTTTTCGACCCGGCGGTCCATGTTGTGCAATATCGAACACGGATGGAACGCCTCTTTCGAAGCGGGGCTCTGTCGTGAGACTTCCGCGAAGCATCCATCCAATTCTGACATCTTGCAGCGCTTTGACGGATGGAGGGCACGTCGTTTTCAAAACGAGCTTACCCTTGGGCTTCCTTCAACGGGTCGTGGGATTCTTCCGCAGCATATGTCCACGATGTTGACATCTTGCGACGCATAGTAGGATGGAGGACATGTGCTTTTCCAAATGGAGTTATTCTGGGCTTCCTTCAGGTGGAAGGAGGATCCTTTACAGCAGGCGCCCTCGTCTGATGGACTGGTGGGCCGACCGGCCGCTCGTCATTCAGTGGGGCGGGTGCTTGCAGTGGAAAGGAAGACTTGTATGAAATTCTGAGGAGGGGACTTGGGACGGGAGGGTGCGTTGCAGCATCGGTTGATGCATGTTGAGCTCACACCAGTCCTTCTTCCTCCTCCTCCTCCTCCTCGTCCTCCTCCTCCTCGTCCTCCTCATCCTCCTCCTTCTCTTCCTCTTCCTCCTCCTCCTCCTCCTCCTCTCCTTCTCCTCCTCGTCCTTTTTCTCATCCCCCTCCTCCTCCTCCTCCTCCTCCTCCACCTCCTCCTCCTCCTCCTTCTCCTCCTCCTCCTCCTCCTCCTACCCCTTCCCCTCCGACTCTTTCGACTCCTCCTCTTGCTCGGCTTCTCGGGGGAGGAGAAAGGGTATCGACCGGTACCGCGGCTCTTTCGGGAGAGCCGTCGTCGCCACTGCTGGATCACCCCTGGAAGGTCGGGCACCTCGTGCCCCGGGAGAGGTCCGGGCCGCAGCGGCGCCAGTGCACTGTCCACCCCCCAAGAGGTGGCTTGCAAAAAAAACCCAAGAATTGCAAAAAAACCCTGGATTGCAAAAAAACCCTGGGTTTTTTTGTTTGAGGGAGTTTCTGTGGAACTCACGTCATCCTCACCCCCGGCGCGAAGAGCACGAGTCCAGAGCGGCCTCCGGCACCGTTTCCGGACGGATCCGGACGGATCCGCTGGATCCGGGGACGAATCCCAAACCGGCGCCCTCGCCTGAGACATCCCCGCAAAACCGGCCCCGGGGGAGGTGCCCAGAGGAGCCCAGAGCGGCCTCTGGCACCGTTTCCGGACGGATCCGGACGGATCCGCTGGATCCGGGGACGAATCCCAAACCGGCGCCCTCGCCTGAGACATCCCCGCAAAACCGGCCCCGGGGGAGGTGCCCAGAGAAGCCCAGAGCGGCCTCCGGCACCGTTTCCGGACGGATCCGGACGGATCCGCTGGATCCGGGGACGAATCCCAAACCGGCGCCCTCGCCTGAGACATCCCCAAAACCGGCCCCGGGGGAGGTGCCCAGAGGAGCCCAGAGCGGCCTCCGGCACCGTTTCCGGACGGATCCGGACGGATCCGCTGGATCCGGGGACGAATCCCAAACCGGCGCCCTCGCCTGAGACATCCCCGCAAAACCGGCCCCGGGGGAGGTGCCCACAGGAGCCCAGAGCGGCCTCCGGCACCGTTTCCGGACGGATCCGGACGGATCCGCTGGATCCGGGGACGAATCCCAAACCGGCGCCCTCGCCTGAGACATCCCCGCAAATCCGGCCCCGGGGGAGGTGGCCAGAGAAGCCCAGAGCGGCTTCCGGCACCGTTTCCGGACGGATCCGGACGGATCCGCTGGATCCGGGGGCGAATCCCAAACCGGCGCCCTCGCCTGAGACATCCCCGCAAAACCGGCCCCGGGGGAGGTGCCCACAGGAGCCCAGAGCGGCCTCCGGCACCGTTTCCGGACGGATCCGGACGGATCCGGTGACGAATCCCAAACCGGCGCCCTCGCTTGAGACATCCTCACAAAACCGGCCCCGGGGGAGGTGCCCAGAGGAGCCCAGAGCGGCCTCCGGCACCGTTTCCGGACAGATCCGGACAGATCCGGTGGATCCGCGCCCCGGGGGAGGTGCCCAGAGGAGGAATGAGGAGGAGGAGGAGGAGGAGGAGGAGGAGGAGGAGGAGGAGGAGGAGGAGGAGGAGAAGATGATGGAGCTGCGGGGTGGAGGAGGACAGACGGAGGCAAGAGAAGGATGGAGGAGGAGGAGGAGGAGGAGGAGGAGGAGGAGGAGGAGGAGGAGGAGGAACCTCATCCTCACCCTCGCCAACAAGCGCACGCACCTTCTTCTATATACAGAAACTCCCGATCAACCGCAGAGCGGCCGGCTAGTAATCCTTCGGTTTTTTTGCAATCCTGGGTTTTTTTGCAATCCTTTTTGCAATCCTCCGTTTTTTTGCAATCCCCCCAAGAGGTGGCACGGGCCACGGGGCGCCTGCGCGAGAACGGGCAGGCGATCTGGCTGAACGCGGACGTGCTTCCCGGGCCGGGGTGCCGGGGCAAGGCCCCCACGGTGCCCGGGTGGGCAGAGGGAGGGAGGAGGAGGAGGAGGAGGAGGAGGAGGAGGAGGGGCCATTTCGGAGATGCGTCGAAGCACGAGCTGCAGCGGGTGTTTGCGTCAAGACATCTCGCTGCAAGAGATCTGGGGGCAATTCGATCGGTCGGCCCTGGACTTCGCGGGAAGCCCATGTGCGATGTGGGCCCAGGTCTGGCCGGGGAAGCGAGAAGTCTCTGCGGGGCACCTGCTGGCAGTCTGGTTTCTTATCTGGCGTTCCTGCCGTATTGCTGGCTCTGCCGGGACGGGCGGGTGGCAGTGCACGCCTGGGCCACCCTGGGGCAGCTTTGGGCCGCAGTTCGTGCGCCCCGCCTGCCCGGCGCACCCCGCGGTTGTGTTTGCTTGCGGCCGCCCGCTCCCGTGCATCCCGAGGTGCCGGCGGACGAGTTCCTGAAAGCCGTGGCGGATTTCGGGGGCTTGTAGAGTTTGGCAGAAGAGCGGCTGCATGGACATACACTGTCGGAGCTCTGCGGTGATTTTCTGGATCTGCGCTTGAATCGCCTCTGGCGCTGCCCCCAGTGCTGCCCCTAGCGCTGCCCCTGGCGCGTTGCACGCGCCAGGGAGGGGGGTTGAGCGCAGATCCAGAAAGTCTGCGCAGACCTCCGAGAGTTTATGCTTTTGCAGTTTTTTGATCCTCTCAGATGACGCCGCACCCACCACCACCAAGACCGAATGCTGGCTCCACCGATGGAAGATGGCCCCCTCATCTCGGTGTCACCATGGAATGCCGTGCCCTGGCGCCGCATCGGCTGCAGTTTTAATCTGGCGAAGCGCGCGCGGAGTGTGATCTGCAGTAGCCTCGGTGGTGGTGGCGGGAAGACTTGGGCCACCCACGAGCCTCAGATACCAACACCAACGCCGAGACCGTGGGTCAGCCTCCGTCGATGGAGCCGGCTCAGGACGTACGTGGTATGGTAAGGGGACCAAAAAATGAAACCCTTCGTCTTCGGCCCCGCATTCGCCCCCCCCCCCCTCCCCCCCTCCCCCCAATTTCAAAGTTGGGTTCGGCCTCTCGGAGGCCCTGTGGATTCCACTTTTTTTGTCCTCTCACGCCTGTGCTGCCAAATGCTTGAGGCCAACTTTGAAATTGGGGGGAGGGGGGGCGTGGTGTCAAGGGTTCCATTTTTTGTCCATCTACGGTAGTGGTGCCAGTGTGCAGGACTCCCAGGTCAGTGGCAACGTTAGGGGGGGGACGTGCTCGGGAGGGAACGCCTCGACCCCCGATCGCACGTGGATCGCCGATAGGGGGCCCGATAGCCCACCACGCCCAGGCACATGCGGCTTCGCTGTCGCGGGCCCGTCGCCGATGGGTCGGCGATCCAGCTCGAGGCTGCCCTCCCTGAGCTGGACTCTCCCTATCGTGCCCGCTGTTCGAAGGCTCGCGCGGATTTCTTGGATTTGCGTTGGACCCCCCTCCATGGCGCGCGGAGCGCGCTAGGGGCGGCGCCAGAAGCGCCGCCAGGGGTGTCCAGCGCCGATCCAAGAGATCCACGCGGGCCTCTGGAAGTGTGTGCTGCATTTTCGTTTGATCATCTTCTTCATCATGCTAGTATCATTATTATGATAATCCCTCTTCCGCCCTCCGTCGCCTTCTCTTCCTCCCTGTTGCGGCCCCTCACCAGAAAACCGCGTCCGGTGGCATGGGGGGCAGCTTAAAGGCTGGCTGAAGAGCACCGTGTCCCAGAACTGAGGGCACCAAGGCGCCACCCGTCTTGGGACGCCCTCCGGGCCGATGGAGCGCGTCCCTCGCTCGGTCGTTGCCCCTCGCGAGGACAGCTGCCCCGGCGCCCCGCTCAGCCTCGGCTGTGGGGCGTTGCGTAATTGGGGGGCGGTGCACCAGGGGGGGGGGAAGGAAAGTGCACCGCTCGTACCCTCTTGGGGGCCCAGCAGGTGCCCAAAAGGGGCCCAAGAGGGGCACGAGAGGGGCACGCTTCGACCCCCCCTTCCTGCACAGCTCCCCCCCCCCCCCCTTGACAACGCCCAAGGCTGGAGCGTGTACGCCGTCGCGCGGGACTGCTACTCGCAGGCCGACTGCGACGCCATGGCCCGGCTCTGCGAGGCTGGCCCGGCCGGTGCGGGGCGCAGCCCGGTGGTCTTCGCCGCCTGCGCGCGCCTCGCGGCGCGCGGCCCGCAGCCGCTGGTGGGACTGCTGCGGAGGGTGGAGGGCAGCCAGCTCCTCCTGTGGACGGGTACGCGGGAGCCCCCGGTGCGCCAGCGATCGCTCGCTCGCTCCCTCCTTCTGCTACTCCTGCTCCTGCTCCTGCTCCTGCTCCTGCTCCTGCTCCTGCTCCTGCTCCTCCTCCTCCTCCTCCTCCTCCTCCTCCTCCTCTCCTCCTCCTCCTCCTCCTCCTCCATCCTCCTCCTCCTCCTCCTCCTCCTCCTTTTTGGCATGCTCCTCCGCCGCACCCTCCTCCCTCCTCCCTCTCCGCCTCCTCCTCGTCGTCCCCCTCCTCTCGATGCTCTGGCTGCTCCTCCCGCCTCCCTCTCCAGGTGTCCCGGCGCTTGCTCGACGACCTTGGCGCCGTCTTCCGGCAGGCTGGCCTGGAGGGGCGCGTCGGCTACGATTGCGCGGTGGCCGCCTCCGGCTTCGCCACCTTCAAGGCAGAGCTGACGGTGGCGCTGGCGCGGGTGTGCTTCTGCGTGTGAGCGTGGGGCGCTCCACGAGGGCAGGCTCCTCCTCCCGCCCTCTCCTCCCTCCGCCTTATCCTCCTCCTTCTCCGTCCTCCCCCCGATACTTCTCTCCCTCCACCTCCACCTTTCTCCTCCTCCTCCTCCTTCTCCTCCTCCGCCTCCTCCTCCTCCTCCTCCTCCCTCGAATCCAAAGTGCATCCCGGCCTCCAGACGAACCGCCGTGCTCTCGTGGGGCCGTCCTTCTGGACGTATGTCGGCGCCTCGCCTCGCCTCGCCTCGCCTCGCCTCCTTCCTCCTCTCTGCTTCCTCCCTCCCCTCACCCTCCCTGCTCTCTGCTCCCTGCTCGCTACGCGCTCCCTCTGTGCTCCCTCCCCTTCCCCCTCCTCCCATTGCTTCTCTTCTGAAGCACGCCCTGACCAGGATTTCGAGGCGTATCCAGCCGTGGTGACCAGGGCTATTTAGGAGACGCCCAACATGGAAAAACGTAAAGCAACACAGAAATGCTTACAGCTCCTCCTCCTCCTCCTCCTCTTCCGCCTCCTCCTCCTCCTTGTTTTGGAGGGGGCACCCCAAATTCTGGAGTCAACCTCGGATTGAATAATTAACTCCGCACATGAATCCAACAGGTCACGCGATGTTCGCGACTGTCCTGTAGTCGTCGCATCTGGTGCGCATCTCACTTAGAGACGCCTCCACTAAGCATATGACGAATGCTGTCGTTGGGCAGCGTGGTATGATGGATCCGATTCGGTGGCATCGTCGGTCCGTCCTCGAAGTCAATTTGGCAGCGCGAAGTTCAACTATACCCTGTAGTAGCAGCGCGATGCTCAACCAAAAGTGGCAGCGCGAAGCGTAACCACACTCTGGTCACGATTGCTGGGCCAGATTGCCAGTATGCTGCGGCCCCTCACCAACCACCACCTTTGTGACGCCACAGGTTGCTGCTCGGTGCCGAATGAAAAAACTGCCGTCGAAGTCCATCACGTATTTCTAATGCTGTTTCGGTTGAATCTCTTCACCTCCCACAACTGTATGATATCATTGGGAGACGAACCTAGATGTTCCGCCCGGCCTCCAGTTCGGGCAATAACGCGGTCGGTCTCGTGATTCACGGCTTGCGAGCGATGATGTTCACTTGCACGAAGCGGCTTCTGCAGACTCGGCGGACACCCCCTCCTAGAGCTCCAGGTCGCCAGCGCCGTCGACGACCGCGCTCGGGGGGGGGAGGGGGGGGGGGGTACAGCACCATGGCGGTCAGACAATTCCTGGCATCGCTCGGACGTGTGCATTTCTTTCTCGGCGAGAACCATCGAGGAGCATCCTTGATCATTTTGCGAAAAAACCAAGCACGAAGCCGAAAAAAACACAGGGAATGGACGTCCGAGCGATGGCGAGAATTGCTCCCCTCCCTCACTCCTCCGTCATCTTTTCTTCGTGTACGTATTTCTCTCCGTTGCGCCACCAGACGTGCGGGCAGGGCGGGCTGGGCGTTTCGCGTCAGCTTTCTTCACCGCCTGCGGTGTTGACGCTGGAAGTTCTTCGCATGCGCACGGCCGTTTTGAAGATGGGGTTCTCGCCTTCGTGCCGCGCGCCTTCGGTTCAGACATTTCCAGGTGCTCTGCTGATCGAGGGCGTCTCCGTTTCGCAAGACTGGCTCTCGCCCCAGCACCGAGCACGTTCGCCCCAACACTCGCTGACATTCACACGGCCGCACGGCGGCCCCTTCCAACAGTCGGGATCCTGTTTGGGATGGTTAGTTTCCCTAACATGTTGCAACAGCTGCACGGAGGAAGAGCGGCTCCACTTCAAGACGGGGCTCTCCGTCGGGGAGCGCGCATGGCTTTGTGACCAGTGGTGGGTAAAGTATGTGCAACGGCTGCACGTGCGGATGACAGCGTGTTGTCATATCGGGACGCTCGCCAGGCAGTTCACCGATGCGCACTGCAGTTTTTGTTTTAGTATGCGTGGCCCTACGTATCGCCTGTCGCAGCAAGGAGCAAGGAAGGCGGATCTTGTTCAAACGGGGGCCCTCGTTGGAATGGCAAGCCCACGGGGCGCTCGTCGCTCCAAGGGGCAAACTTGCCGTCAAGAGGGCTTCTCGCTGGGACCTCTGACGAGGGACTTGGGCGGGAGGGTGTGTTGCAGCAGATTCTCCTGCACGCTGGCCAATTCGCTTCTCGGTGCCCCCGTTTAGCTGTATCGCTAGTGCAGCCAACACTGCCTCGCCGCCGACGAAAAAAAACAAAGCGTTGCAGCATGTTTGATGCATCCTGGAATTGGCCTGTGGCCTAGTCGTCGTCCTACTCCTCAGCGTCGTCTGACCCATGCCATCCCCATCCCCACTGGGCCATGGCGCCTCTGCCCCATCAGCCCCTCCCCCCTCCCAGGTGGGGATAGGCCCCACGAAACCTGAAGGAGCAGGCCCATGTCCTACTACCCTCGTCAAAATGAACCTCAACAGTTGCTGGCACGTCATTTCGATTTCGGCGCGCCCCTCAATGTCGACACGCCGCCCCTTCAATGTCGGGGCGAGGGCAAAGATAGACTGACCGAAGTTGACTCGAAAGTTTGACGTCGACCGACATTGGAGGGGCGGCGCATGCAAGTACCCCGCACTCATCGATACTCGGCTCCAGATCTTCCGACAAGCAGTTCAACCACGTCAGACATTTTGGAGGTTAATTTTGACGAGGGTTGTAGCATAGGTGGCAAGCCCGTCAGCGGAAAGTCGGCCAGTGAGAGCAATAAGGGTCGTTGCTCATCACCTCGGGCGACGAAATCTGTACATGTCCACTGCCCCCTGGCTGGGCCTTTCCTGGGCAGAGGAGCTGCGTACATGCCCTCCTGGCCAAGCCAGGAGGGCGTGCGCATAGAGCGCTGCTGGGTTCGGGATGGGCCTGGCCAGGGAGCAGTGGCTGTGTGCAGATCTCGTTGCTCGTCATCCTGCGCCTCCACTCCCTCGGCGCGGCCGCTCGTCGCGGCGTGCGGGCGGCGGCCGCGAGGATCCTAGGACGTCGGCGCGCGCTCGCGAGCGGCGTGGCCGGACGCTCGCCGCAGCGGCCGCGGCCGCCGCGGCAGCAAAACAGGCACGTGCGCGCGCTGTCGCGCGGACGCGCACGCGTCGACCTGAGCGTCGCACAAAAGCGGTCTCGACTGCGCTGACACTCGTGCACAAGCTGCCCGCGCAAGGTCGCGCGTGAGCGCCCTCGTCTCCAATGTGGCATGCCGCGCTGGCGGGCCGCGCGTAAGCCACCGCGTGAGGTCGTTATGCCATCTCCTTGGCATCGCTCGGACGTGTGCATTTTTCCTTCGGCGAGGACCGTCGAGGAGCATCCTTGATCATTTGGCGGAAAAGCCAGGCACGAAACTGAAAAGTGCACACGGAATTGACGTCCGAGCGATGGCCAGGTCTCGCTGAGGACCCCTTCCCCTTTCGCCGCTCGCCCGAGGCGTTCCAGGAGGGGCCTCGCCCTCGAGGACCGAGGGCGCTGGCACCCTCTTCCTCGGCGGCATGCCCGGCGGAAGCCCGGCGGAAGCTGGCGGAAATAAGATCGGGAGCCTCGAGAGTCTCGAGGCTCCCGATTGCCTGCTGGCGCTAGGGATCAATCGAGGCGCGCCCCACCGATCGTTGATGCAATCCGACCGCCTCGGCTTGCGCGGTTGCTCCAGGCCCCCACGGACCCCCCTAAGGCCGCGCACCAAAGGGCACTCTTGCCCAGGGTCACTCTTACGTGTCGCCGAGAGACGGGGGTCAATGCAAACGGGGGTCAGCCAGGGCACCGGATCCTGCAGGATCCTGCGGAGGCCCCCTCTGGCTGACCCGGGTCAGCGAGCCGCTCGTGGCCGCGAGGCGGCCGCGCACATTGGCTGACCCGGGTTTGCTAAGACCTGCGCTGCAGGTTTCTTTTCCTGCGTTGCAGTTTTTGGTTTCTTGCTGACCCGGGTCTGAATTGACCCGGGTCAGAAGATCCCCGATGAGACGACACCGCCTCCGCCAGCGGAAGCTGGCGGAAGTAAAAGATGCGCCCCCGACAGGTAACAACAGTTTTGGGTTCAGGGTTTCCTTAGCCCGCCACTTCACGCGCGCGCACGGAGCGATCATGGTGAACCCGCTCGCGGAGCACTGCTCAGATGAGGAGGAAGTGCCGATATCGTTACCCTTGCCTCGTTTTCGTTTTTTCGGGGCCTACTAGGAGGCCCTCGTCGCCACGGCTGGATTCGCTTCGAAATTCTGGTCAGAAGGCACCCTGGGAGAGGTCCCGAGAGGTCCGAGTAGTAGTGGTATCGATGATGTTCTTTTCGTCCCTCCACACTCACACACGCGCGCAAGGCGATTATGTGTAATTCGTGCGCGGAGTATTGCCATCCCATCCCGTCGGCACTCAAGTACGAGTCGTCACTGGGATTAGAAATGACGGCACACTCCAGCAGTCCGTTCATTATCGTATCGTGCTGAAGTTGAACCAGAAGAGGGCGCACCTTGGCGCAGACTTGCGCTGGGGCCCACCCTAGCACCGCATGTTGCGCCAGGGCGCCTTTCTTGATGGGCCAACTTATCACCACCACTACCATAGGAAATGTTCTGAGAGTTTGTTGGATGGTTTTGTGCATCTTGGGGGAGGGTGTTTTCGAATGTTGTTCAGTTTGGCCAGTGGAGGGTCTCCTGTTCTTGAAAAATGTAATTCTGTCCTAGGTCCGGCCGTATGTGCACGTGGAAGGCACTGGGGCGTGTTTTTCTTTATCTCTGTGTTGAAATTGAGCCGGCGCTGGAGGCTGCGCCAGGTGCGTTTTTCAGCATGTGCTGGGACTTGGTAGATGGCGCGCACGCGCGCCCCAGCGCTTGAGGCTGCGCTGGGGTGCGGTCCCCCTTCGGTTTTGCAGTGGTAGCGGGCGAAGAGCGGCACAAGATGATTTGTCCGCTTGAGGGGGCGCCTGTCCTAGGGCGGCTGCTACAGGGGGATTTTCGATAAAAAACAGTTAAAAAATAGTCTGGGGATTATTTTTTGAGTATTTTTTGACCTTCTTGGGGCATTTTTGGGGTATTTTTTATTATGAACCTCCCAGCCGCCCTGGGACAGGCGTCCCCCCGATGGGGAACAACGGCGCGCCCCGCCGCAGATCTGCGCCCGGGCACGCCCCGGCGCTGGAGATTTTTCGCCCACGTCAGATGTGTTGCTTCGCCCTCCCGAGGCGGCGCACCTCGCCACGCGAGTGCCCTCCCCTCCCTCCCTCCTCCCTCGCGGCCGCTTTCGCCTGTCTTCCCCTCCTCCTTCCGCCGGTTAGTTTGCGTTTTTTTCGTTGCCCAGACCGCTTGAGCGCGCGTGCGGAATGCCTCTGCCGCGCTGCGACATAATGATGGTTCTTCGCCCTTTGTGTACAAACTGAAGAGTGCGCGGCCCGGCGCAGATCTGTGCTGGGTTGCACCAGGGTGCGCGTTTGCTTCCACGTCTGAGCTGGCATTCTTCACGTTTCGCTTATCCCCACGACCCGTCCAGAAACGATGCCCGGACAAGCTGTCGGGAGAAGGGAAGTACGCATGTAGTGAAACAGAGAGGCGACGGTGGTAAATTTGAGAGACGACTCTGGGAGCCTTTTGGAGCCATCCTGAAGCTCTCTTAGGGCCCTCTTGTGAGCCTTTCAGGTTCTCTTGAGGCACCCTGAAGGCTTCGGGGGCCAACTAGGGGCTACCTTGGAGGACGTCGATCAAAAGATGGCGAGGATGAACTTGTGGCCCCTCCGTGGGAGCTCGAAAAATCGTATCCATCTTGGGACGCTCTTGAGGCGCTCTCGGGAGCCTGTGGGGCCTTCTAGGAGCAGTTATGGGTCTCTCATGTGGCTCTCTTGGGCGACCTCGGAGCAATCTCGAGGCTTCAGGAGCCCCGCAAACAATTGCACAAATATTTAGGCTTTGGGTGGATTGTAGTTTCTCGGGGCATTCGGCTTGGTGCCGTCTTGGGGCGGTCTTGTCGTCTCTTGGGGGCATGCTGGAGGCCAACTTGGGCTATCTTGTGCCATGTTGGAGGACATCTTTGGGAAGGTTCGCCGCTGGGTCCCCCAGAGGGGGGTCTAGCTTCTTTCCGATCCCCCCCCTGTCAAGGGGGGGAAGGACACCTCCTCCTCCTCACCCCCTTTCGGGCGAATTGTCCCTAGCACCCCAACGCTGACACCCTGACCCTAACCCCGTAACCCTGAGCACTGACTCTAACCATAAGCCCTCATCCGAATCCCTGGCATCCCAATCTCTCAATCCTAACCGTAAGCTCTATCCCTAACACCCTAACGCCCCAACCCAGAGCACGACCCCCAACCCTAACCCCTAACCTACACCGCGGCACCCTCGCCCCCCTCTAAAAACCTTCGCACCCGAACACACGCGCCTAACACTCTAACTTTCGAATCCTATAGTCTTACAGCCCTGACTCGCTGCCAAAACTTGTCCCGGACAGGCCCCCAAACGGCCCCCGGACCCGATCCCCCCAGCGATTCCCAGCAACAAAGCGGTGCACGCCGGCTGACCGCAAGATCGTCTCATCTTAACCTTTTTGAGCGTCTGACCCTCACCATCCATTGCAAATCATACAGTTCGTGAGCATTTGTTGATTCTTACAACCATCCAACTTCGCCCCGATCCCCTGCTAAACATATAATGTGGTGGACATCTGTTGATCTTCACAGTGATCCAACACTTACCATACCATACAAAAGCTGCTTATATCCACAACCATTTACCCCCACGATCCCTTGCAGAATAAACAATTTGGTGGACACCGGTTGATCTTCACATCGACCCAACATTCACCATCCTATACAACAAAGACCATTCAGTGCACATCTGTTGTTTTTTAATACCCATCCACCCCTCACGATTCCTCGAGACAGAAGACCATGTGGTGACAGTTTTCTGATCTTCATAGCGACCCAGCATCCACCATCCTATACAAAAAACACGATTCGGTGCACATCTGCTGGTCTTCGCACTCATCTATGTTTTACGATTGTTATCAACAAGTGCGTGTGGTGGACATCGGCTAAGCTTGCGCGCGCCCAGGTCTCCCAGACGTTCCCAAAAGCTCCCAGACGCTCCAATCGCTCCCACAGCGCTCCTAAGATCGTCGTCGCCAGCAGCATCAGCATCCACATCCTCATCTTCACCGTCCTCGTCGCCGCAAGATGCGTCAAGGAGCAGATGTATCAGATCGCGTTGGCGCTTTCAGATGGTTGAGGAGGTCGATCTTATGGAAGGGATGGAAGCAGGACCCAGGCAAGCCCCAAGATCGCCCGAAGATCCTCCCTGGGACGGCGAAGAGGACGCAAGACCACGTTGCCGCGATAAGAGGATAGGTCAGTCTTATGGGACGGGCTTAGGACGGGGGGGGGATCCGCGCAAGCTTTCGTGATTCGAATACCCTAACCCTAACGCATTAACCACAGCGCGCTTAATTCTAACAGTCCAAGCACAAAGCCCCGAACGGACCGCAAACCCTAAACCTACACCTACACTCGCACCCTAGCCTTGCACCCCTAACCTTGCTAGCACAACCCCAAACACCGCAACGCCCGAGCCCTGAGCATTCATCCCAAGCCTGGGCCCTAAAACCCACCCCGAAACGCAGACAACCCGAACGCCTTCTCCCACGCGCCAGGGCGCGTTCCGCCCTCCCCCCTCCGCCGCCGAAAGGCCCTTCCCCTCACCCCCTTTGCGCCGGCGCAAAGGGGTGCGTGGGGTGGGCCCCCCCCCAGGTTGGAACATCGCCCTCGTGACTCATGCCTTAACTCCCCCCCCCACCCCCCAGCCGGATTTTTTGTTCTTCCTTCCGCGGGGGGTCCACCTTCTCGGCGACCCGTGAAACGCGGGACCTTTGGCGGCGCATAGGGTTCTTTGTGTCTTCCATGCGCGCATTGCCATTGGAATCCCTGAGCCCGTCCGACTAGAGTGCACCTCGTATAACTGAATACAATTGGCACTATCATGTGCTAGCGCGCAGCTGCTCCCAGAGTGCACCTAGTCATGCAGTAAATTGGCACCATAGTGCGACGAATAGCGCATCACATTTCGTATCACTATTGGAGGGCAGCAATGGGGTGCAAGTAGTACGAGTGCAATTCCCCAGTGCAGCGACTACTAGAGTGTTGCTGCAT